CTGGGCGCAAGTATACCACATCCTTACTTGTAGTTGCTTAAGGAACTTTTGAAGCAGGCCAAGACTCCATGGTGGATTGGATACACGAGCGCATCGCCGAGTTGGGTAAAACAAGGGTGCATCAGAGCTCCAACTAAATCGGCCACTATACGAGGCACATACATAGACAAAAATAATTAATCCTGGTGTTCGGGGTAACCAACGTCGGCAGTCATAAATTTGTTATCAAAAATTGAAACATTTCTCTTTCTTTACACCGTGCCTTCGCCGTTTCAGTCCGGTATCATTGTGATTAACATGATATACTCAGCGGCGGTACCAAAAGCTCCACCACCACAACATAGGGGTTCTATTTTGTCACTTTTTTGCCTATTGATTGTGGCAATATTCTTTGGTTGAACATACTCTTGTGCAACTCATGTTTGAGACGCAATCCTGCGTCCTGTGCACTGCAGACGCTTAAATACCATGGAGCCGTGGCCTGCTTAAATGGTCCCGCTTAGCGTCCAGAAGGAAGGTCGTGGTGCAACAAAACAGCTGGTGTAAAGTGAGAACTGCTTTTTTTCTTTACGCTGTGCCTTCGCCGTTTCAATTCGGTATGATTACGTTTAATGAGAAAATGAAACTGCTATTGTCTTGTAACCCTCCTTTATATAACGAAAAACGGTGCATATGGGCGGCGCCATTTAAGAAATAAAATCTCCACCTCAATCTTAGACAAACTCCGTTAAAAGCATGAAATCGGTTATTACCTTATTAACTAATCAAACGTTTGTATGCTGCTGAACGATGTTTGCCCATGGACAGAGTGATTCGTGTACTTTATCGTGTCGTCCATGTGAGGCCGTATCTTTGTCGTTTGCCCGTTCAACGCCCAATTATCTGAATAGCCCTATTCGCCCCTGAGGTATAAGAGTGATAGCCCACCCTCACATACTACAGAATAATAAGTACAACACAGAGTACTTAAACACAAAAGTAAGTGACGACGTTACTTTATTAAAACCTATGCCGTCATGCACTAGCCTATTTCAAACTTTTCACCTCGTAGTCCTTCGAAGACTTGCCAAGCCACGGGTTCTGTGTGTCCAGGCCGCCGAACGTTCGGTTGTCACTGCGGTAACGGCGGTTGCGGTACAGATAGAGCAGCAACAGGACGAAGAAGGACGTGACCAGCACCGAACAGATGATAATGGTTGGCGCGACAGCCTGTTCATCGCGTCGCTTCCTCACCGGCAAGCGATCCTAAAATCAAAACAACCACGTCACCTTCGACAACGCTTTTCAACGGACAGACGAGGGCAGCGTAGGAACGAAGTGGTGGTGCAGACAGCGTCAAAAATGAGTGCTGAGCTAAGGTGATGGGAAGCATACACTACGAGTATGACAAATGCGGAAAATCGGAAACAGCCACGGATTTATATGCAAATTGCGTGCGTCAATAGCAAAAACTGTAAGTAGCGTTTGGACCGCGACGGCGGTGACGTTCATGCACACTCGTCACGGACCAGACGAGAAAGACCGATACGACTTCAATCATTTTCTAATGAATTTGACTCGTCATCCTCCTCACAACGCGAATGGCGGTTTTTGCCGGCCATAATGACGAAATGACATAAGTTTCCCCGGGGACATCGCCGCAATTCGATCGGGTGACGAAAGCATCCGCGACGGCAAATGACACTCGTCGGACCGAATTAGACAGCCATTAACTAAATCCTCGACAAGATGAGGTCACCACTGTGCGGAAAAGGTATAATTGGAGAATGGTACAAGGAAAGATTCGATGAATAATATCACACAGGGGGCAAAGATCTACAAATCCAGCAAATAATTAGTCTGTGGGCGAACTGTGAATCCTATGAACATGACATATGCAGATCAAATGATTCATTTCTGCAAAACCCATATACGGTCAAGCGGACCACATATAGTCCCGTGATCTTCATGTCTCTTACGAGACTGTTCCGCATATACACGTCACTACACAAATGATCGACGGTTTCAGCCATACACTGCTCGTTGTCTAAGTAAAGTAATACATACAGTTTGTTTCCCTGTACCTTGACAGTGAGCCGAGTCGTAGGTGATTTATGTAGTAAAGTGTATATAGGCAACAATCCATAAGAAACATGAAGACCACTGAAACAATCTCAAGCATAAAAAAGAACGTTAAATTTTGAGACATTTTTAATAAAACGGCAAAGAAAGAAGAGAGACTGGTGGTGGGCAGAGCGCAAATCAAAAGCATATAGTTTCCCTTATTTACATATTTTACGTCACCTTAGTTTAGCTACATACTTCTTGATACAACGACCGACTTGTTTCTTCAATAGACCGCCTCTTGGTTTCTTCCTACTTCCTTACTTATTCGCTGTTTTCCTCCCTTCCTTAAATACTTATGGACTACCTCATTCACTGACTTACTAACCTACATAATCCTCAAAACTATTATCTCACTTAATGTTTGGTAATTATCATCGGAAACTAACAGCATAAACAGCAACCTATAATTATGATATCTAATCGTTAGAAAAGGTATTTCAATTTGATATCAGACAACGTTCAGTGGTGCCGAAAAAGACATATTCCTCTTCGATGTTCGCCCGTCAGTGAGCAGTTTTTATGTTTGTTCTCCAAAGCATCTACAGCCTGTGCACAAGTCCCAAACGAGTAACGTTTGAATATATGTTTCAGTCACTTCTTGATTGACTTGGTCAACTATCTACCAATGTGCAGCTTAATTGCTTTAACACGTGCTAACTTAATAATTGCTAACTGATTTATTTGATTACTTAGATGCCAAGTTATTCAACGTGTTCCTTACCTGCGCCATGGCTTGTATAATTGCCTATTTACTTACACGACTTTACTTGCTGTTGAATACGCACTTGGTCAGTTAAGTGCTTACTTTCTTACTTGTTTGTTCACTTGGTTTTTCAAATGCCTGTTTATTCCCTTACTTACTTAGTTTCTTACCTGATCACTTACTTGTCTACTTAATTATCTAATCCATTAATTCATACTTTGCCTACTTTCATAGTTGCTTGATAATTACTTATTTGATCACTAATTAGGCAGTGACATGCTTAGGCATCTCATCCCTTAATTGCTTACCTCACGAATTTGCTTAATCACCAACCAACCCGCTAGCTCATTTAGTCAGTTTAAAGCTTATCTGCCTACTTTATTTGCTCGCTGGACTGTTTAGCTCTTTGCCAACTTGCTAACTCAACTATTAGCTCACAAACTTTTCAGCTTTCTCGATGACTTCCTTACTTGGTTGCCACGCGCTTACTGCCTTTGTGGCTTGTTTACTAACAAACTCACTTATTTGCATGCCCATTTACTGATTTGTTTACTTGGTTTATTACACATCATTTAATTACTGATTGAATCAATTACATGCCTACTTACTTGCTTATTTGCAATGCTGTTCATATTCTCATACACTTGCTACATACATATACACTGACTTATTCATTTGATATTAACTTGTTCGCCTGCTTTTTTGATTTCCCACCCATTCCCTTTGCTTTTGTGATCGTTAACGTGCAAACTGACTTTTTACTTAAGTGTGTAGCTGGCCTGTTGTTCTCCGAAACTATATGTCCAACAAAGTCAAAAAAGGATGCATCACAGCGGCCAGCTGTTTTCCATAAAATACCTTAAACGGGAGGCTAAACTTTGCAGACCGCCCTCCCCGACCTGTACGATAACAACACATCCTAAACAAAGTACCAGAATTCTCTAAGCCGACTGGTACGACCAAGAAGGGGTAATCTTACTCCAGAAAACCGGTTGTCCCTGTGTGAGGAAATCCTTTGACGGTAAACTGAGTGTAATATTATTATCGAAATAGTATTTCGACAATGGAGTCGCAGCTGAGCATCACAATAGTTTAGTTGCTTAAGTACTGTTTTCTTACTTATCATCTACTTAACCACTTAGGTGGTAATACATACTGATTTGAACTGTTAATCACCTACCTACCTCCCACCGTGTTTTCTCATTCAGTTCGTCTTGTACTTGGCTACATCTTGCTTATTTTCTCACTTTCTTAGTCACTTAGGCAGCTAGTTTCATGCCAGCTAACAGACTTCTATATATGTTTATTTACGCACTTGCTTACTAAAACTTTTGCTCAAAAATTTGTTTAGTTATACGTGAACATGCTAACATGTAAATAAATTATTAAGTTCACAGTAGAAAATAGGTGTCATGAAATTCTTTTCAGTTCTTTCAATTAAACGGAAAATTACGGCAGTTTTCACGTAGTGTAAGCACGAAAAACCACAAGGCAACAGGTACTTACAGTCTTTTTCACGATTTCTTAAGTATTTACATTTCTCCTGTTGACTTCATCACCTGCCTATACGAGAATAATAAAATGCTGTGTAAAAAATCTTTAAAATACTGTGCATATTAGAGGATGCTTGGCGATGAAAAAAAACAAACTTCGTTTACATCTTGTAAAAACAAATACGTACAAACATTTAGTATAAAATTAACGGTGACATTATGGCCTTACTAAAAACTACTAATTTTCGAAAATAAATAAGAAACCTATATTGAAAATAGTGAATGAGCCATTTATTTACGCGAAAGACGACAACGTGCTTTAGAAAATCACAAAGGGGTGGACAGAGCATAAAATCTTTAATTATAAACAATCTATATAGATACGGATGTTTCGGTCCGAACTGAGTCCGTCATCAAAGCTACAAATGTAATCATAACTACATAAATAGAACACAGTAAATTTGGTATTTAAACACAATCTATTTAGCCCTGCCCCATTTTGCCCGTCAATAAGCTTCCCCCACACCGTTTATCATAGACGCATCCACACAATCCCTTAAGTTCTCATGAAAAGTCATAGCTTTAATCTGTTCTCCGCCACGGCAACACTGTAGGCCATTCGTTATAGCAAGGACGCTATAACGCCTTCCATCCGAAAAAAACTGTGAGGAAGCAATAGCATTCATCTCGGTCAGACAAGCAGAGCGTTGAAGGTCTAAATTAACAAGCATAGGAAGATCGCTCTGGCATTCTACTCGCCAACGCTTTAGGTCTGTCACAACTATAGTTGCAACAGTGACTTCTTCACTCAGACATCATGTTTAAAATGAACCTAATTGTAAACAGGATCCCTTTGTATCTCTGCTACAACGGTATGGCATGGTATGAAATAGACGAGGGATTTAGTACGACATATTAGGACAAAAGGATTAATATATTCTCTGCGGCGCCAAACGACATCATACTGGATGTTTCAGCTGTAACTGACCGTCACAGATCTGCCTGCTGCGCCTTAACGTGCTCTAGATCACTCCTTCATGTCGATAAGTAGAAAATCAGAAAAAAAACGATCTTGATCTACTTATTTAAGGTAGGAAGGATTTTAACCGCTGGAATGTTGGCATTGCCTACAGTTTCACGATGGGGCCATTTTCGATGTCCTTCGTTTCATGAAGTTAACGGTGGGGAGCTGATCTCAATTTCCATCACATCGGGGAAGAATGAATCATTTTAAAGGCCTAGACGACAGTGGGAAGCATTGTGTGCTGTCACTTGTTTACTTCAAACAGAATAAAACTCATTTATCAACCTTAACAGGAAGAAAGGCGAGTGACCCTAACCGTGGCTCAGTTCTGAGAGCGACGCTCACTCTATCGACTGATCAGTCCCTGGTCACAAGCAAGGTGTATAAAATCCCTTGGTAAAGCGAATCCATGGTTAAGACAAAAATTGCAGTTTGCTAGAGTTTGAAGCCAATCTCTTCTGCTCTGCCACCATGTCACATGTAAGCGCAAAGAGTTTATAATCAGGAGCATGTTTCGTACAAACAAGTCGTTTTTATTGCAATATAGCATAATTAAGGAAATGATGTTGCTGTCTTGAATCATCGGCCTGCAACCGCTGAGTCAAGACCCAGATCCAGAACCGCTCAGTCGACTGATAAATGCCTGTAATATGTCATTCGAAAATTTCTTTGCGAGACGATACCGCATATTCAGTTTATTATATACATATTCTCTAACGTTTCGGAGCATGCTTGGGTCGTCTTCAGGACGATACATGTCATAAAACAAAATGTTACAGTTCACATCGATACAGTTAGGTACGAACTTCTCTACTGAGGTTGAAGTCCAATCTGTGGAAGCTGTTTCGTAACGTCGGTTCACTGCGATCTTACTTCCATACAAATATGTTTATTCATACATTGGTTGGACTGAATTATCAAGACTTCCTTATGTTTCGGCTGAGAAAATTTCTCCCTCGGTGTATTCCTTTTATTTGGTCACATAATAAGCAGCCTCGTTCTTGTCCTACATGTTCCAAGCCGCCGAGATTTTCTAGAATTCCTTCTTCAGACCCGCAAATAAGGAAGAAGTACCACAAATAAAACTCGACGGCCATGAGGCATGCAGCACAAGAACGTGCTGCCTATTGTGGCACCAAATGAAAGGAACACACTGCGAGAAACTTTAAATAAATCAGCAGTAAATGTTAATAATATATAGTTAACTGATCAGGTCAATCGCTACTTGACTCGCAAGATCATAACCTATGAGCCAGCCTACTTTAAAGTACTCTGTTTTTATTATAACCGAAAGTTTTGCATGGCACATTGTAATTTGACCCAAAAAGGATTTACCAGAACTGAGTTGCATTAATCCTTTATGTGAAGCTGACTCCTTCATTAACAATGGTTGAAATCGCCAAGACTTGAGCAATCGTTTGATGATAACTGATTCTGACTGATGGACCAGGTTCGTAATCGAGTCTTTAAATGACTGAAGCACCATATGCATATGCTAGAAGTATGGAAATTCTACAGTAACTAATACTCATCGGAATTATTTGCATTTAAAACCAGTTGCTAATTGATCATGCTTTGGCGCAAAAGAATTAAGGACAAATCAAACCAAGTAGTCGAATATGGCGTCTCTGAAACGACTATGCAAGAAACATGACACACGGTTATGTGAAACACACCACGTCGTAAATTTTCATGAGCCATAACTTGAAAACTGCGGTCCCAGGATGGAGAATCAAGACTCAACGACAAAACCAAAACACGGTTCAGTTCAAAAAAATAAACGGCCAGCCGCGGAGCTTCAAGCAATAAATGGTGCCATGCATTATTCATCCGTTGACCGACACCAATCGAATATTTTTTTATATACACGTAAATCTCATCACCGCAATGATTTTAACGGTCATCCGTTAAAATTGATGTCATTTTCACGCTAAGCAATCTAAAGCAAATTCAGGCAAACACGAAGCTCCTGCACAGATGTGATTCGTTCTTGCTTGCAGTTCGACTCAAGGAATATAACCACATAGAACATGGGTGTGGGAGCCCATGTTCAGTCAGGCAATTAGCCATTTCTCCAGTTACACCGCAGGACTGAATGTAGTCACTGTCTAATTAAAATCTGGAGTGCCAATTTTACTGTCAGACGTCCCAGATTTAGGTTAACCTTCCGTTTATGCCCTGTTAGCCTCGGACGATGTTGACAAAACAACAACAATAATAATAAACTAAAATTCTTCTGTCACTTCTACGAACTAGATGAACGTTTAATAAGGCTAGATATCCTTTGCAATTGAGCATCTGCAGCGCAAGGACAAAAAATAGCACCACTTTGCTGACTCTAGTTGGTCCACTAGAAGCAAGAAGGCGGTACGCTTCGCCGCCGCGTAAATCCGAAGAAATGACAGGAGAATGTAATTCTTACTCGTGGTACTGAATGCTATCTGCTTGCTATCAAACCAATAATAACGGGGTTTATTTTTCGAATAATAATAATCTGGGAAAATTAAAGTTTTATCAGCTGAATAATCTAATATCATCGTATTGCGACGCTACAATGAATCCTGACCAAGTTTTAACGTAATGTTAGGAATTTCAAGCACCTGAGGAGATTGCCCATCATTCACCATTGCAGAATGAACGGTACCGATTTACACTTACCTGAAAAAAGCTGTCTCAGCGACAATTTCATAATCTCCATCAAGATCGTTCTAGTCGGAAAGCCATTTCTTGCCCAAGATAGGGTACTTCTTACTTCCTTGCATCTAACTCTGGTACTGAACAATTTAATGCGACGTGGCTACTGTCCTGTTTGTCAATTTTATGCGCTATGTCTGTTGGATGTTGCACACCTTTCCGGGTATCCTACATGCAAAACATCTGGCGGCAGACTCGAGTCAACGTCAATGCAGCAACTGAAAACGAATCAGTATGGTCCTCGACTTGTTTCGAACGCTTACCTCAGTCAACCGAGGTTTCAACACCAGTCGACCCATTAACTTCAACTCCAGGCAGTTATGTTCGTTTGCGTTAAAACGGACATGAGAGAATCTGAACAGGGCAAAATCTACTCTCTCACAATGAGCGCGAAACAATCCATGTTTAAAAGGACTTAACCACGGCTAGGCCTGAAGTACTACAGCTAAATCAGTGGAGAACTTAATAGGATTTCGCCGATGTTTGTCTTCGGATGATCCGTGACTACAACGAAGCCACTTAAGCATTTCGCCCGATGTTCGGAGGCAATGTACACTAATCGATATCTTACACATGGGAAAATTGCAGAAGGGCTACGGTCAAATTACTGTAAAATAAAGACTCACGATCGAATAATGCGAAAAGCATAACTCTGCAACGGAAATTAGCCGACCTCGTTTCTCGCGCCGACCTTTGCGTCAAAAAATTACGCAACACAAAGAAAACATGTGAAAGCCGTTTGATTTCAAATCAACCATGATCGTCGTTTACCTCGCCGCTGCCGACTCCCGCTTCGATCACTTCTGCATCGTTCAGCACCTGACCGCTGGCCTTCTTCATAAGCGAATCTGAAAAGCAGTACAGTAGGTCACTTGCTGACGGACAACGAAAGCAACGGTCGCTCAGTGCGCTTCACTCACAAGCCTTGTCAGCGATCACGTCTAGATCGATGGGCGCCTGGCGATGATGAGGAATGAGGAATACGTTCTCCAGCCAGCGTTGATTCACCTCCTCTTTGCCGTGTACTTTAAATGATAGCTCGTTGTCGTTCACGCTAAACAAAACGGTATTAAGGCAACCGTCGACAATCAGATTCCTCATCAAGTCAGGGGTTAATTTCAACGACAAGTGCTCAGAGAAAAACGGTTGCACACGTCAAATACAGCATCAGATTTCGGACACGCCACGAAGTCAATGCCACGTCATGACGGACCTGAACCAATGTGCCACGCCTCAGGCTGTGGATACGCGACGAATCATGCACTTTCATCCGTCAGCATGACAAGAAATGATCATCGTCATCATCAGCCTTTGTCGATCCACTGCTGGATGGAGGTGTCTTCAAGACTTCGCCATTGACTTTTGCTATTGCGATTGTCATCCAGCTTGATCCAGCGAAATTCTTCAGTTCATCCTATCGCCTATCTGGAGGATTTCCGATGAATCGTTTGCCTTATCTTCTAAAACTCAGTCTAAAGTTTCTCTGGTCCAGCGATGGTCGAATCTTCTTTCCGCGTGTTCTGCACATATTTCCATGCTGCCTTGTGCAATCTGTAGCTTGTGACGTAAGATTCACGTTTCGCACCCGCACGTTAGCACTGAGAGCACAAAATGATCGACTGTTCTACGTTTCAGGCATAAGGGAGGTTTCCAGACTGAAAAAATGCGTCTTCCAAAAGTGTCGAACACCATTTTTGTTTTTCTGTTGATTTCCCACAGTCGATTCCAAACGACAGAGGTGAGCTGTCCCAGAGAAACCTACTGTGACTCTTCCATCAAGTCTGAGTGCATGGACTTCAACAGACCGTACGGCCATGTATTTCTTAAATATAACATGAATCTTCTCTAACTTCATTTTCGGTCCCCACTTTGATGCCGGCATCGTTCAACTCTTGAATTCTTCTTTAACGCTCTTCTAGAGACCTTGGGAAAATAAGAGTATCGCCCGCAAATCGCAGGTGACTTAACTGATGTCCATTTATATTCAGAAAATGATTTTCCAAACGGGCTGTTTTGAAAACCTCTTCTAGGGCTGCTGCGAATAACTTCGGTGATATTGTATCACCCTGTTGAACGGTCTTTTCCATTTTGAACTTGTCCGTACATTCATGAAGATTCACACTGGCAGCTGAATTGCTGTAAATCATCCAATCAGGCGTAGGTACCTTTCCTTGATTCTCTGGATTCTCAAGGAATCCAGTACAGAACAGACGCAGACCGAGTCGAAAGCCTTTTCGAAATCGACGAATACCAAGCAAAGAAAAAGCTGATATTCGTTGCTTATCTGAAATAGTCGTTCCATCACCTGGAGATGGTCCGTCGTATTACATCCACGTCTGAATCGCGCCTGTTCCTTTGAACGCGCAACGTCCGGTTTTCCTCTAAAGATCCCTTAAATAATTCTAAACAAACTGATCGGCCTGTAATTATTCAAATCCTCCCTGTCTCAGGTTTCGTGAACTAGAATGACCGATGCACTAGTCGAATTATCTAGAATTTTCAATTCCATCCGAGAGAGTGATAAGAAACGCTTAACATCTTGATAACTGCTACCCCTCGTGATTCCACCAGTTCCCCTGTAATGCAGTCTCGGCCAGGAGTCTTTCCTTGCTTAGTCTGTTTTATTGCAGTCACACTTCTTCTGGCACTACATCTGGAATTTCGTCGACTTCACTGTTACCTACAGCTTCCTTATCGTTACCAACAGCGTTGCTGTTCTTCATCTCTATACAATTTTCTATAAATTTTAAATCACTTACTTTAGAATCTCTTGTCCGTCCTTGATGGCAGTTTCGTCTACTGCTTTGACGGCTAAAATATGTTGATTTCCCGATCGTCAATCTTCGGTTTAATTTATTCCTGTTTCGGTTGCTTGTAATAGTTTCCTTTACCAATTTGCCTTTGAATGCTCGGAAACCTTCCTTCATCTGTTTCCTCAAGGTTCTGCAAAGTTCCAAATATTCGATTTATGATTTCTGATCTGTTGCTATCTCCATTCTTTTCCTTTTATGAGTTCTATCGTCTGATTCGTGATTTTTTGTCACATTTCATAATACCTCTTCCGGAGGTGATTCCCGGCGTTTTAAGTTGTACCCTAATATATTACAATATGTTATTGTCCATTTCTTCTTCTGCATTTTGCATTCCATGAAGGAAGTAGAACTGGCTATTTAATTTGAACTTGAATAGTAGGAGTTCTTCTTTACTGCTTGCACATCGAGGGTCCTGTGTGCTGTGTTAAAGCAATTTCTTTCCCTCATGCTTTTTGCATCTGACGAGCGTGTGGTCGCTACCTGCAGCAAGAAGTCCTGCCATGGGCTCTTCATTTTATTCAGCACGAAATCGATTTCCTTTTTCGGTTCATCACTTCGGCCTTTCCATATCCATTTCTTACTTGCTTTTTTGATTTTTTTAGTAACAAATGAATTGTTTTCCCCCAAAAAACTCTACCTGTCGGTCATCAATGTCGTTCCTTTGTCATTCCCAAATACAGGACATTCCTTGCCTCGCTCAGGTCCAACGTTCTTTCAACCAACTGGTTGAAAACACCAACGATGAAATGAAATTAATCTTTTCATGTTCATTCATTTTTCTGTTTTGTCGCAAAAATCTTCAATGTCTTCATTAGGATGGCTTGACGCCTGCTCAAACAATTGGGTCAGCTGCAATCGTATCTCTTTGAAACTCATAAAATCTCTTCGAAGTGCTATGCATTTTCACCATATAGTTCCCTAATCTTTTGTGGATAATAATCACTACTTCCCCTGTACTTCCAACTGCCAATCCTGTGGAACAGGTATCCACGTTTAATCTCTAACAACGTTTCTTCTCACTGAATCTTACCACCCCACTTGACTTTCCTAACTTCTTCCTGCGGTTCTTGAGGTCTTGCTTCACCTAGAAATGGTCTGCACTTGTACGTTGCCAGCGTCAGTAAACCGCAGGAGGTTTGACACGTAACAAGGGTATTCTCAAAAGGCCATGAGTTTGCCTGACCAGCTACGGTATTCGCCTGCAACAGTCCAACTACCGAGGGAAGAACGGGACGGTTTTGTTGTGCTTTTATCGTTGAGGATGTGGCGCTATCAATCATTATGCTGTCCACGAGTGTTGCTCAATGTTGACTCTTCCACTTGGGCGAGTGTACTGCACAACACGGTTGAATATGAAGAGGCTAGAGGCTCAGCTGTTTATCGTTTTCAGAACTCGTTATCCCTCTGCCATGTTTGTTAGTGAAAATAAGACTTAGGAGGGATGTCAAGAAATGGAAAGCATTAAATGAGAGAGTTCACATGGGTGAAAACGCGTAACAATAAAAAACATAGTTCGTTATCGTTCGACCTGTACAGCTCAGCAGATCTTCCCTTATGAAAACAATCTTATTGAGCGTAGACTTAAACGGTCTTCAGCTTTTCCCTTGTTCAAATTTCTCGTCTTCTATTTGTGCTTGTTCATTTTCCTTTCCCAAAACCTCGCTACTCAATACTATCTATATGTCGCTCGAACTCGTCTGGCTCTAGTCTTTTCTATTTGTTTTTTATTTCGATCTCTATTTTGCTTGCCCCCGCAGGTCGGCACATCCTCACTCGGAATCATCGCGTAATCAGCATACTCCGCAGAACAGCGTTAGTGAAGGTTGACGAGGTGAACTTCATGACGTCCCGGGGCAGACTACTTAAATGAATGGTACTCGAGTAAAATTTATCACAGCTCGTAGCGCAGATCATCAAAACCGTCTCTGCAACACGCCTTCAAAAGAATGATAACAGAATCCTCCGAAAAACAATTTTTCATGCTTCCTATATATTCTGGTTGTTTTAAAGAATATTTACCTGCTAGCCAGTAGGTTGGCTCTGGCCGAGGTTGCTCAGTCGGTAGAGCGTCGGATTCCGAACCGGTAAGATCACACGCTGACGAATGGCTACAACTCTTGGACGGAAAACAGTTAGCTACACACTATGCTTATCACACAGCTGCTATTCGACTCCGTCTTTAAAATGTGGCACTCGTCACTAATGGCATGGAAATGGAGATCAGTGCCCCACTATTTACTTAATTAAAAGAACGGCGCGAGAAACGGTGTCATAGGGAAAGCAGGAAAGACCGACATTCAAGCAGTTAAAAATTTTTTATTTTCTTTTTCAGTAACATCGTCCATAGATCTAGAGTCCGTGTTGTTTGTTTCTTATTAAAATCTGAACATTCCGTTCGAGCATTATTTGCGTTCATATTTGAAAGGAGAACGTTTTGGTGATGCAAATCAAACAGAAAGCTTTCAGCTGTTCATGATCAGGTCATCGCACAGGAAATGAGTTTTTATTGCTTTTAGTGAGAAAAACGCTTAGCGTCAGCAGCACAGTCATCAAGACACGAACGGAGGAAAACGAAAGCAGGTGCTGCCCGTACATTGAGATGATATGCCGTAGAGCGATTGGTCAACGCGCGAGCTTCGAAGCGAAGGTCAATCATGAGCAAGTCAAAACTGTGAGTAATTTATGCTTGCGCCATGCGTAAATCTACTTTTGCAATACATTTTGCCAGAAGCCGACATAACGATAGAAATAATATAACAAAGAAATAATATAATACAGAAATAGCATAATATAGAAATAATAATATAAATACGCATAACGACAGAAATAACATATCATCGCGAAATGCAACGCAATGCCATTTTGCACAGCCACGAACACCTGCCATGAAGAATGAAAGTGAGGTGGTTATCCGTTACAGTAGGACAAGACTGTGGTAGCAACTGGTTGTTTTAGTGAACGAAAACATAAATGAGTTAAACTACGTTGCACTGGACGCGTCATAAGCGACGATAAATGGCAGCAACACGTAAGGAATGAATCGATACTGTTTCGGGTACTGGTGACCTTATTAGATACATAGATTAAGGAAAAGAGATAAGTGCTGGAAGGTTAACTGATTAA